ACTAACAAAATGAATTTCAACAAGGATAAATGTAAGATGCTACATTTAGGCAGAAAAAATGAAATGCAAGGTTACAGAATGGGTGATACCTGGATTGACAACAGTCCATGTGAGAAAGATCTTGATGTCTTTGTAGACAAGCTGTTCAACAGTGGAATTCTCTGCTTTGGAATGTGGTGGAAGCTCCTTACTTGGAAACTTTAAAACAGTCTGTCAGTGATACTTTGATTGTGCTTTTCCTGCATGGCAGGGGCTGGACTAGATGACCCCTGTGGTCTCTTCCAACTCCATGATTCCATGATTCTATGTGATGAAAACCTCTACCGTGGGCAATTAGGCCATCTCAAAATGATGTGGCTTTTCAACTCTGGCCTCAAGCCATGGTCCAATTGGTCCTTTCCTGACCCCTCAGCCATGGTAGAATGAGTGGAAGCTAAGTAATCCTGACACCCAACTCATCCACACTTTGTTGCTCAGAGTAGCTGTCTTGAATTTAAAATTGGTTCAGCTGGAGTGGTATTTGCAATTATGTCATAGGTGAATGTGGAGCAGTTATTACTCTGCAACTCTAGGTTACAAATCCATAACTGCAATGCAGGATGCTAACTCAAAAAAGGAGCAGACAAATTTCCCTAGGAAATGTGAATATGGCAAATGCAAGACTTTTGGGTATATTTATAAATTTCAGTATGTTGGTGTGCACTGCCAGAAATTTGGCAACGGACGCAAAATTACATGAGGAGTAGAATTCTTATTTGGGGAATCAATATCTTCATCTCCACTCCTTACACAACTGTGAAGAAGTTGATTGTAATCCACCAAAGGCCATACTATGTTTGGCTTGCATGTGTCTTGGCTGTTTACATGGTTACTCCCATGAGACATGATAAAAGTAATGGTATTTTAACAACATCCCTACAACACTGAGATTGTGAGCAATTCAGATAAGTATATATTAGGAAGTGCTAACATCTCCTTTCCAGCAGTATTGATGCTTTTATGTGGTTTTACGTTGACTCTGAATTATGGCTACCTTATCCTAGGGTGTTCTTGGCATGATTTACTCAGAGGAGGTATACTACTGCCTTTGCCCAAGGCTGAGAGAGAACAACTTGCCCAGTATTATGTTGTAAGTTTCCATGGGTGCATGAGGATTCAAATCTTGGACCTCTTCCACACAGCTGAATAAAATCCCACATTATCTGCTTTGTACTGGAATATATGGCAGTGTGGACTCTGATAACCCAGTTCAAAGCAGATATTGTGGTATTTTCTGTCTTGATATTCTGAGTTCTAGGGCTGTGTGGAAGGATCCCTAGTCTCCTGGAGCCCTAATTCAAAACTCCAACCATTAGCCACACTGACCCACCACCACTACTTCAATCTGATTCAAAGCCTGTCCCACACTGAGATAAAAAATAGCCATGCACACAACTGGGAGAGCCCATTACATTTATCCCATTTATGTTCACTTGAGAGATGTAAAAGCTCAGTGGAAAGTAAGACATATATTTCCCATGTTTGTATGAGTCTATATAGCTATGAGTCCTAAAGGCAAGATCTCATAAGGATATATAAATTAACATGTATAAATAAAAAGTCCCTTCTGACTTCTGTCCCTCATTATTTTCTATTGGGGGAACATTTGGCATGAAATGACTTATCTCAATCTCAATTTGGAACACGGGGAAGAGGTTGGTCCTGGGGACGGAAGCAGCAAATCCAGTGAATCCTTCAACTGCCTCCTTGATTTGTGTATAAACATCCATGGTTTTGAAATTGTTTCAAGTTTAAATTAAACTCTTTCACCAAACTTCTCCACTTTCAAGTGTTATTGCTTTTTTGTTTGTTTGTTTGTAGCATATATCTTACATGTCAAATCCACTCCTTGTCCTACCTGGTCATCTCCTGGCTTTGTTATCCTGCATCCACTCTGCCATCAATACTCATATTGATACAGTGAATTTCAGCTCTCACATGGATCGTTAGTCATTAAAGACATAATTAAATATTACTGAATTTTCACACTTTTAGAAATCGCCTACTGTTCCTGTGTTAGAAATCTACCGACAGCCTCATTTCGTGCCAAGTGATGTGATGCACAAGCACACTGTTGTCTAGCACTTTCCACTTGGATCACTGCACAGGGTAAGTTTCCACATTCACAGTACCTGTCAGTTGATGTGGAAGTTTGTTTCTTTCTTTACAGGATTAGACTGGGAATATTTTGCTTTACATCAGAGATTTTAGAAGGTGTGGACAACAGCTCCCAGAATTCCTTAACATTGGCCATGATGGCTAGTATTTCTGGGCATTTATGTTCAAAGTAGAATGCAGACTGGTCTATAGGCTAGGGAAAGGAAACATACAGTCTAATGCCTATGAATCAAAATATGGCCTTCCAGATGTTCCTCCACCCTCTTAGCAATCCTAAACCCTTTCTAGCAATCTCCAGCCACTTCCAAGGGCAGGAAGTCTTGCTACGATGGATCAGAAATTGGGGCGGAAGAGAATAACCTGTCTAATTTTTATAACTAAATCCCTTCTTCGTCTGCCTGATTGGAGATAGCCAGAACTCCTTCACTGCCAGCCAGTGCTGGGAAACTGGCTAAGCACTTGCCTGGGCTCATGGATAGCTCTGTTTTGTTTTTCCCTATGTAGAGGAGTTTTTTTCTTGCTGTGCTCTCCCATTCTCTTCCTTGGGGAAGAGGAATGCTTTTTTTATAGAATGAAAACATTCTCACCTGGGGAGAAGAGAAAACTGGTTCTCAATCAAAACATTATAAAGCTGCACCTTATGATGGGCAGGGTCAAGGCTGTACCCTCTGATGTAATTTGGCTTATGGAGCCTCTGGGGGAAGGAACTGGAGTCCTCCTGATTCCCTCTTACGTCCCCACCTCATTCCCAATGGAGTTAAGTAAAAATTCCTAAACAGATGTTTATACCTATTAGAGAGAGATTATATATATATATATATATATATATATATTCAACTTTAAATCCCTTTGGGCCAAACAAATTCTACATTACCTTGCCTTCGTGTTTATAAATGCTAGCACTCAAGCATCAAAGACATGAAATATGAAAAATAATAACCCCTCTAGAAAGTGTGCTTTATCCTAGATGGGGATATTCCAAACACAATTTTCAGGAAAACATGTCACCATAGAAGAAGGTTTCTTCAGCCAAACTAGGGGGCCTCCATATTTTTGCTGACACCATTCCTCTTGCGGAGTAAATAGCCTGGTTACTAGGCCTGGGTAACAACGGAAAAATTTGTTTCTAAAATCGATTTGTATTTGGGGGTTTTTTTTGTTTCGATATTTAAAATAATTACAAAATTTTCCTTTTAAAAAGTTCGATATTTACGAAATTTCGTAAATGGTAAAAAATTAACGAATCGATTTCCGAAACAATAACAAATCGATTCGTTAATGGCGGACGCGACCGCGAAATACGCTAAAAAACCTCCAAAACCTTCTGAAGCTTCCCTCTCCCTCTGTTGTTGACTGTTGGTGTGATATTATAATTTTTTTTCACTAATTAAACCATAAAACTGGCCCAGACATGCGGAAATAATAACGAAACGACCTCAAAACAATAACGAAACGAATACAATATCGAAATACGAAGCATTTACAAAACGTTTTTGAAAATTCGTTTTTTTTATAATTGCTCCAGAATGGTTCGTTATCGTTTTGTAATTGAAAAAATTAACGAATTATTAACGAATTACGAATTAACGAAACGAAACCGCCCAGCCCTACTGGTTACTGTTTGCTGGTCTTCTAGAATAAGGTCTAGCATACAATGCTGAAAATGGGTACTTGCTGGTCTGAATTAAAGTGCAACGCAACAGTGCCATCTAATGGGTGATGTAACTGTGTCTTTACTTTATTTTTAATTTCTGAACAATCTGTTTACACAATTTCATTTACAGTTCATTTCCCTCTTGACTGGATACAATTATTCCTTTTCTGCAACTATATGTATCTATGCCGACCAAATCAGAGAAGGACTTCATTCACAAAATGGATTCTAGTCCACAAAAATACCTTTATTAATTTAGTTGGTTTTGCTACAACAGACTAATATGGTTGCTCTCTCAAAGTCTTTAGAGAAAGGCACATCAACTGGGACTCAGTCTTGTGCATTAAACAATTCTACTAATTAAACTAAAGAGTCAGCATATTCATTTATTTATATATTGATATCATCGTCATCATCACTACATTGCCACTTGAAACCACATTTCATAGTATTTTATTAGTGAACTGGTTTTTAAAAATGGAGGAACTACCATATTCCATCATGCTTTTATATTGACTTGCTTCTCTCTGAAATACATGCCTCTAGTATTAAAGAACTGTGATATTTTTGGCAGAGTGAACCATGTTTACAAAATAATTACCATGCTTTGCAGAAGAAAGATCTATAGTTAAAAAGACTAGCTGCTTTCATCAAAAGACCACTTAACTGAATGTACATAATGCACAAATATTCTACTATAGCATACTTAAATGTCGATTCCAACAGAGATGGGGAATGTGTGATCATCCAAGTGTTATTGGACTGCAACTCCTATCACAGCCGGCATATGATGAAGGAATTGTATGATCTGGAAAACCACAAGTTACCCAACAAACCAAAATTCCTGCTCAAGCTATGTATTAGACTCCTTTCTTGGGCCTATGTAAGCAGCACTACACTCAAGCAAAAATATCCTTCCTGATTCCTAAGGGCCTTTGTGAGATTTGTATTTCTCTCACCACTGAACTGTTGTCATTGTTCCATGACTGATATCTCCACCATCAGTATTTTCTTAACATTCCATGATGCCATACTGTGTCTGACCCAAGCCATTGGCTTGGTTGATTACCTACAACTACTGTATGTACTATGTGGATTGTAAAGGAAATTTAAGGTAAAATTAAATATAATTAATTTAATTTAATATAATATATTAAATAATATATTATTTAATATAAAATTTAATATAGACAGAAAGGGGCCAAGCAGCACTCTTTTAAGGTAGACTATAATTAAACAAAATCATTCTGTAATATTTCATAGCTGTTAGATTGCTACTGATATGATAATTGCTAATCTAGTGAATTAGATGGAGGAGGGATCCCTGCTGGAACCATAGTCTATTATTACTCACTTTACTTGCATTCTAAAGCAACGGGGGCTAAATTATTTCCTGCCTAAAATGGCATCATACAGCTTTCCCGTTCTCTTGATTTCAGTCTCCAGGAAACCTGCTTCTATAAGCAGTTTGGTGAACTCTGTTGCAGTCCTCTCTTTTCCTTCTGTCTGAACAAGCATGTTAAGAGAATACAGTTGGCTTTCCAATGGCCCACTTTTGTCCTCATTCAGAAGTGTTTCAACAAGCAGGACTCCACCACCTAGTTGGGATATAAGATCATGAAGATTCACTGGAATGCACAGCTCAACCTGTCCCTTTTCTCCCAACTGGCTTTGTAGCATCAACAGATCAGTTCAACACAAAGATAGCATTGTTCACATGGGACTAGGGCTCATTTAACGCTATAGAGAGCAGGACAACATGTGGCCTTCACATTGGACTCATGTCTCAGTATCTTTTCTGTTCCCTAGGGGCTGATATAAGAGATGCAAGTTAAGATATCTAGACTATCTTAACTTGCCTCTCAGGAAGTGCCATGAAATTAAATCATTGTGACAATGTGGATCAGTGAGATGTTCTTTTAAAATGTTATTTTAAAAGCAAAGCAAGGCTCTGTATTAAAAGCCCCATTCACATTGACCATTTAAGGTGGCTTCAAACTGGTATTGAAGAAAGTGGTTTTGCTGTACAGATTATTATATAGGAGATCGTGGAACCAGTGTGATGCCCAGGTGGTGATTACACAAACAACACAGCCCTGTTGTACATTAATGGTTTTCTTTCACACGCTTTTGTGGGAATTTGTTGTCTAGTTGCCAGCAGTTTGGAGCTAACTTCAAACGTCAGTAAATGGTCAGTGGAGGTGGGGCCCAGGTGAAGAAAACTCTGGATTGTTACCAATAGAGGACAATCCCAATCCCTTTCCTTAGCTGTTGTGGATTATCATGCCATGGTGGCTAGGGAGATATAAAAGTTGGAGGTTCATATCATTAGAATGCCAGACATTATTCCAGATTGTTATTGTAAGTGAATAACAGAAATATGGACTAGACACATGGGCAAAGGTGGAGGGGAGCAATGAAGGATCTTCTCTTGGCATAGTATATATATGCTGTCTAGAAATATTAGTTGAATCTGACCCAAAAATCCTAGGTTGACTTTTCCATGTGACACCTTTCCCTCTTACATTTAGCTGCATCCATATAGGATTGCTATCATACTGCAATGTCCATAGTGCAAATAAAATATATATTGATCCCTTACTATGCTTTAACTCTTATCAATAAAGGGACAATCTCTGAGTAGAGCAATTAAAGATGAGAGTTATGTCCATCCTGGAAAGACCTAAAAGAAGCACCAACTACTTCTGTTATCCCTACTGTGCTACAGCTTCTGGCTTCTTGAATGCCTGGGGAAATGATAGTGGTGGCCAAGGATGACTGGAGTTTTCTGCTCTCTGTGGACTGTACCATGACTTATCCACCATGACGTATCCATTCTATCAAAATCATTTGGCATCAAAACCTGCCATTGACTTTAATCCAAAATCAACTTACACTACTGTATATAAGTTAATTGTATTACAACAGAACATCAGAATATTCTTGAATTCTTACGTTCTTGAATGTATTTTTTCTCATTGCAAAAGCCCACCCCCATAACAAGTGCAAAAGCGCAAAACACTGGCCAGATGTTTCAGTCCTGAGATCTACAATTGAACCTGTCTCTTAAGATGAAGGATGTAGAGTTAATGAATTACTGCCAGTGTCAGGTTACACCTAAGAAAGTCTGATGAGATGGAAGGGCGAAAGGTGCCCTCTCCACCTCTGAAAACAGATTTTTCTGAAATGGTGTACACTGCCCTTTATATATTTAATGCTTTTTATTAGAAATTGCTCAGGACACATCTTCTGTTGCAGGTCATCTCAGTATTTCCCTTCATAAGACATTTAGTCAATAATATTAGGAACCATACTACTTGGACGGCACCAATATGTGGTGTTTAAAGAACTGTGGTCCCAAGAAGTGCCAGTGAGAAATGGTTGTTAACAGTCTCTGGAAAACACTGGGTCTATGAAGTAGTATCATAGAAATAATAGGACAATTATTTTTTACATGAAGGATGTAATGCACAGGCAAGTCTTAGGGGTCCTATATACTTACATACCAGGTTTGCAGACCTTTTGCACTTTTGTAAGCAGCTGCACACATTTATCATCTGCCCAGTCATGAAGGATCCTTGCTAAAATATACAGATCAGCTTCTGGGATAGGATCTTTGAAAAAATCTCCTGTATTGAAAAATGAGGAAAAATAAATTCTACATAAATTTCCATTTAATCAGCCATGTTACATTATTCAAATATGATCTATAGTGGGGAAAATTTTCAAACAATTAATCTAAACATTGTGGTCATTGCCACTCAACAGCAGATCAAGCTAAAAAGTGTAAAGAAAATAACCCCACTGATGTAATAATTATAGATCTTCCTTTACTATGATTAGGCCAATAGAGAATATGGCAGGCAACAAATAAAATGATTGGTTTATGAGGATCTGATTACATTTTATACTTTAACATCATGTAGATCATATGTTATTAACATATGTAGATCATATGTTATTAACCATATCTCAGCTACAGCAGAGATATGGTTAAACTAAGCAGTCAACGATTTCATTTTGTTTTTCTACATTGTCTTCGAACACACAGGTTGGAATCTTAACATTGATTAAGGTAACCACAATTGCTTTAAAACAGTTATTTCCACTATTTTAAAAAAACTAGTTAATTCCTTAATCAGAATGATAGTGTTATAATTGTGTAGTGTGAAAGGGCCTTACAAACACTAGAAGATTACCACAAATTCGGGAATCCTTTCTAGATTTTAGAAAGTGCAAATCATTTTTGTAAAATCCCAGAGCAACAAAGCATAAGCATGAGTTACTCCTTGTTTTAGGAAGAATTGCAGCTCACAAAACTTCCAGAATTTAAACTCTCATTTTTAAAAAAACCCATTTTAATAGGTTGACATCTGGTTGGCCAAGTGTCCCTGGTGTTCTATAGGTAACTCATGGTTTGCCCTGAGTCCCATTCCTGTCTTAAAGAGAGGTAGATAGTTTGTACAAGGGAAAATATGTCCTTCTCTCTCTTTGCTTCCAGTTTAAGCTGGAGGCATAGAAAAATAGGTCCCTTAAAGGATTCATATTTACCTTCATGAAAAGTAATCCGCTGTTCCTCTGAAGATACAAAATGCTTTTTTGCTGTTTCCACTACTTTGGAGAGATCAAAAATTGTAACTGTACAGTTTGGATACAATGAAATGCATTCATGGGCCAGAGCACCAGCACCTCCTTTTCAGAGAAAAAGTACAATTAATTTAGACATAGAAAACCTACACCTGGAATAGCAGTAACTGCTCTTTGGAAATGTGTGTGTATGAGTGTGTGTGTGTGGGAGAGAGGGGGGGCGGGGAGGGGGGGGGAGATTGTCCTCATCAGGCAGACAGTGTGTGAACTGTGTTCCATTCCATGACAGGCATTTTGGTTTTTTATATCACACCTGGTTTTGAAATGTGTGTTTTTAAAAGCAGTTTGCAAAATGCCTCAGCTTTGAACAGAATGGCTTGGAGGTCTCTCATTCACAAAGTTGGTAAAAACTCAAGCCAACTTGAGAGCAATGAACAAAATCGCTAAGTTTTGTTTCATCTGCAGTGTTGTGGAACTCAAACATTTGCACATTGCATTTCAAGAAAATAAAGTTGATGGCATGAGCTTTGGCTACTGCGAGTGCCAAAGTGAGTTGTTCAAACAGCAGAATGGGTATGGGGAAGGGCATTGACAATACAACAGGATGTGGGCTGGTATTTGCCTTACTGGATCATATAGTGACACAAGAAATGGCTTGAAGTCACACTACAACAATTAAAAACAGCATGCTCTGAAGAGTGAAGGATCTCTTAGGCTTCCTGCTGGTTTCCAACAAAGGCTACAGAAAGTGTTGATTGTCTAAATCAATGGTTCTCAACCTGTGGGTCCCCGGGTGTTTTGGCCTACAACTCCCAGAAATCCCAACCAGTTTACCAGCTGTTAGGATTTCTGGGAGTTGAAGGACAAAACATCTGGGGACCCACAGGTTGAGAACCACTGGTCTAGAGGTTGTTGAATTACAAACAAAATTATGCCTCGCTTGGCTTCTAGAACTGATGGAAGTTGCATTGCAAAAACATTCAAAGGGCCAGACATTCCCTATTCCAGGTAAAGGGGGCCTGCATAAAGAACATGTTACAAAAGCCTCTGGGGGAATCCAAACATGCTGGGACCTGAAATAGTCCCTTTTCACAGGATCTGAGCTTCAGAAGGGACTATTTACAGCAACAGAATAAGGACACCCAACCCCATGCTATGGCAGAAATATTTTGTAGTTTTCCAACATTTTGAGCAGTTCCCCAGTCCCCATTGTAAAAGTTTATAGTGTTTCTTCTAAGCCCAGATAGGGACAGTGAGAGTTATAAGCTAAAATGTGCTGGTACGTTTAGTCCCAGTCTTTTGTCCTCTCCACCACTGGAATGTAAACCTTGAGAACCTCATTGAAATGCCATTCATTCCTTGGGTTGAAAGAGTATCTTGATCCTTCCTATATATCAGTAAAACTTTTGTCTCCCGCCTTGAGCTGCATGTAGAGGTGGGTAATAAATAAATGAATAATAGCAGAACTATAATAATAAGACAGGGGAAGGAGCTTGATGGACCTGGATGTCCTACCAAGCATTCTCATTGTGCTATAGCAGTACAGAGATTGCAGCTGAGAAATTTAAGATAATTAGTCCATAGAATCAGCTTCCCTCCTGTTTTAGTTGCTTCAATTCAATGTCAATTATGCATCTAAAGACAAAAGTTGCTCCATGCATGACAGTTTTGAGCTTAGCATTTTGACATCTCCATAGTTGAATAAGTCAGACAGTTGAAAATTTTTACCTCCAAGGTCATAAATCACAGTGAATGGAGAAAGATTAAATGCAGCTAGCACGTCTCTGCCACATATGCTCCAAGTTGCATTCAGTCCATACATGAATTTTATCATTTCTTCCTCTGACCTACAGATTTGAAATTGCATCAGCAATAGACATTGTGGTAATTACCCATGTGGACTAACTTTATGTGACAAACATGAATTCAAAGATTAATACTATCATCTTAATTAAAAGGGGTGGCTATGCTTCAGTATCTGCAGATTGACACATTCATTTTAAAAAGAGGTGGAGATCTGTAATTCAATGAATTTGTTGTTCCTCATGCAGGAATGAGGCATCCTTTATAGGCAAAAAACTCATGTCCAATGGTGCATTCAAGCCCTTGGGATATTGCTGAATTGCTGCATGAGGAATTAATGAAATGTATGTTAAATGAAGGATTCTGAATATTGTAATCCAGCAGGATACATTATAATGTTTTACATATTACATAATCAGATTGGATCTTAACTGTTACTTAGCTGGTATCAGAAAAGAGCCAACTTTGAAGGAAAAAAGATGGCCTAAATTAAGAATTGGCAGATGTCAGAGGCTAGTGAGATACATTAGTACACCCAAAGTACTAGAAAGGCCATATTTCTGCCACACACCTCTGACCCTAAAGGCTCTCTAGGAGGACTTTTTACAACACAGATTGACTAGGCATTCAATTTTTGTTCACTTCTGGCTTTAAGAAAAGATATTTTGACATCTAAAATGACCTGGAAGTGACATGGTGAAAATGCTTCCTGACCTTCTGCAAGCCATTTGGTGGAATTATTGACCTCAGGAGGAAGTGGGCTCTGGAGGTCGCAAAATGGCTCTGGGGATTGCATATGGACCATTGGCCACACTTTGCCTGAAACTAGTCTAAACTATAACTGCCAACCAGAGTAGACCCATTGCATGAAAGGGATTTACATAAGTACTGATTCACTATTCAATTAATTGAGGGACTACTCTAGGTGGAACCATCATTACAATTAACATTCGGTTCTATGAGAGTGACACAGGGATTTATACAAAATATACCAACATAGACCAGAGATGTACTTTGATATGAAGTTATTGCATGGCAACCTTACCTGTAAAGAGCCTCAAATACATCTTTTGATGAAATGCCAAATGCTCTCTCATATTGGTTTTTCCCCTCCCTTAAGAACCAAAAAGAGAAGGGCACAATTTATCTGACAGACTAACTTTTAAGTGCTTTTTATTTTATATAACATGCCTCCTACGCAACACACACTTCAGAACGGGTTTAACATTGGAGACATGGCAGAGAATGCTTATATTATAGTTGGTTGTGTCAGAAGAACTTTCACTCATAGACAGAAGACAGTAGGAGAGAAGATATACAAACTGGGTTGTAGGTTTTTCTGGGCTATATGGCCATGTTCTGGAGGCAATTTTTCTCCTGACGTTTCGCCTGCATCTATGGCAAGCATCCTCAGAGGTGAGGATATAGAAAGTAGGATGCCAAAATTGATAGCAGGAGGTTCCATCATGTCCTTCCCAAGGGTGTGAGCAAATTACAGTGGAACAAAAAACACTGGTATCTGGTGGCTTCTAAGTCCATGGGGCATAAATCTACTCTGCTATTTCAAACTTTAAAGCAATGTATTTAAGTAATACTTTATACCCCAAGACTGGACCCAAAGCTACCCAAAGTGAGGACCTCATCCTGAAAAATAAGTTGTTATTGTTTTTGTTATTATTAATTCCCAATGAGACTCAGTGTGGCTTTAAACAGCATCAAAAGCCCAACTCTTGTAAGTTTGTAAAAGCTTGGTGGCATGAAAAATGTTTCTGTCTGCTGCCAGAAGGAAAGTAAAGAAGAGGCCAACTTAGCTCTCTATGGAGGGAATTTCAAAGTCAAGGAGCGGCCACCAAGAAAAGTACCAAAAACAAGAGAGCTTGAGAAATTGGTGGGACTAGGAAATGTATTTCCAGATAATCTTAGAGCTCTTACAGGGAGATATGGTTCTACAAACTTGGCCATAAAGGATATTATAGATCAACATCAGTTATATGAATTGCACCTGAAAATTGTGACTAATGGAACTGTTGTAATAAGGAAGTTGTGTGCTCCCTAAATCAAGTTCAGATTAACACCATGGCTTCAGCTCTTTAGACCAATTGAAGTTTCTGAACATTTTTTCAAAGGCAGACCTACATAGAGTGCATTAAAGTATCCAAATGGGTACCACCGTAGCCAAATGCAACTTCTTCAGGAATGGGTGCAGTTGGCACACCTTGACTATGCAAAAGAATTGCTGGTCAGTAATGCACCTTCAGGCTGAGATCAGTCCAGGAGTACCCTTAAACTACATACCTGTATTTTCAAGAGATCTGTCTGTTTTCCCAGATCTGTCTTTAAATTGATCAGGAATACCTCTATCTTGTCTGGATTAAACTTCAATTTCTTTGTCACCATTACAGTTGTTATGCATTGGTTTAGCATAGAAACAGCTGCCTTGGAATTAAGTGTAAAGGACTAGCAGAGCTGAGTATCATCAATATATTGGTGACATCTGAACCCAAAACTCTGGACAACCTCCTCCAGTGGTTTTGTGTAGATGATAAACAGCACACAAGATAAAATAAACCCTGAGGGACTTTACAGACCAGTAACTGGGGAATCAATCAGTTACTGTACCTCCTAGCACCAAAAACTCTGAGAGTGTCCCACCAGGGAAGAACAGAGCCACTGAAGAACAATAGTTCCAAGACCCATCCCAGAGAGGCGGCTCAGAAGGATACCATGGTCACTGGTATGGAAAGCCACTGAGATGTCCAGCAGAACCAACAGGGCACTTTCACCTTGTCCAGTTCCCTGCATAGGTCATCCACCGTGGCAACCAAATCTGCATCTGCCCTGTAACCTGGTTTGAAACTCTACTTGAGAACATCAAAAATATCAGTATGTTGGATATAAGCTGTGTTCTTTCACAGTCCCGTAGTCTTTCATAAAAATGATATTATATAAATGTCAATTTTGTATATATATTTTAAAATTTTTAGAGATTTCCTCTTTTCTGCCTTCACCCTGTACTTCATATCTTCCCACATTTCTCGTTTATTGCTTCTTCTGGACTAAATCTGCTTTCTTTTAAAAAGATTAGCCTTAACTCCTGCCCCTACCCCAGGTAAATGCAGTATTTGTTTCTATATCAATAAACATATATAAAATATCAGTACCATACTTCTTCGTTCCATTTGGGAAGAATTTTATAATCATGATACTGATAATAATAACAGGAGGCTAAGCAGAGAACCATATGGTGGCTCCCATTAGCAGAAAAATCTCATTTCCGTCTTTTTCCCCCCTTCCACTCAGACAAGAGCATAATTTGATATCCCAATGCCTACATGCCAGCTGCTCATTGTCAGGTATCCCCCAGAGAACTATATCCACAAATAGTGTTATTATGACTAAGTGTTCCCTAGGTGTTTCCTCACACCTGCAATAGGCTTGCCCTCAAAGGTATTGCAATTTCAGCATTTGGTATTTAGAATGAAACAAGAACAAAAGAGTATAACTGTAGCAACTCTGAAGTCGTCCCAGAGCTTGCAAAGATTTTTAAAAATAGCTTTCAGAATCCCCAGTCCTCACACTCAAGGGGATTATCAGAGCTTTAATCCAAAAAGTAACATTTTCCCTCTTCCATGAATTCTCCTTTACCAGCAATGAACACCAGATACTGTTTGCTTACAATTACCAATAAAACCAGTTATATCCTCCAACTGCCTTGAAAACAAATCTATGAAAAGAGGATAGAATGGGTTCTATGACAGGGGGTACACTTGTTCTTCTGAAACATAAGTTCAATTCTTATCTATCTCACCTTATGGCATCTGTCAGATAGTGCCAGCACAGATAGATGGTTTTGGAGTAGTACATCAGATTATGATACTGGGACTTTGAACCTGATCTGGTGAGGTAGAGATTTGATATTTCAGTGTTTCCATAAAAAGCTTAAAAAGAAAAAAAGGGAAACCAAAATTAAATACCATGATGACAATCCACAAAGAAGAATAGATTTAGGACCTCATCATATGAGTCATTTGTAGTGTCGTGGGATGTTTTCGCCTCAGTTGAGCCATGGAGCCCCACACTGCCTATCAGATTATGCTAGCTCACTTCCAGTGGGGCTCCCTTTTCCATTGCAAATCATGAGGCCAGCACAGGGGGAGTCACCCCACAGGACCTCATCTATGTGATGTGGTCCTTAGACATATCCTTTGCCTACAACAAGACAATTTTTGATATCCTCTTGACAGAGATCTGTGCTGAGCCCATTCATACCAAATCCAGATTCAGAACACCTATTCAGCTGTCAATCCTACAAAATTACTAATTAGTGTTGATTTTTTATCATTTCTGATCACCTTTCTTTTCAGGACATCTTCTGGACACACGTCAAACTTATGAAAAATGTGGTTAAAATTTTAAAATCCCAACCAAAAAATTGCAGGAAGCCCATTCCCATTTTCTTTATTTTTTTAAAAAAGGGAGTGGACTAGATCAGGGGTCTTTTATGCCTGCTTTACAAACATAATTGCTTTTCCTAGAAGCCCTCATAACTATTTTCCTTTTTACCACAAAAAATAATTAAAATAAATTACCCCTGTATGAGGATTTTGCATATTTCACAACTGCTCTGATTTGATTAATTCTCTGTTGTTCCATTATTTTAGCTGCTTTTAAAATGTGCCAATTTTCTTCCTCCTTCCACTTTCTCACTTTGTCCTCAGCTTACACTAACTGCTGCAACTTTAATTCAAAGTGCAAATGTAATTAGCACTCTATTAACTAAGCACAGGAAAGAGGAAGAATGATAGCAGAATCTGTACCTTCTCCATAAGCTTAGGCAAATGCAGATTTTCCTAACTTGTGCATTCTTTTGCTATCTTGCCCACACTGTAGTGCTGCTTGACTAAACAAGGTGCACTTTTCACCCATGTTCTAGGACAATTAGCACCATTTTGATGTAGCACAATATAGTGACCTGATGTAGAGTAGTTGATAGTGTTACCTCCTTCCTGTTTTATGTCTACTCTCAGGAGCTTCAATCCAACACAGGCATCCAAAAGCCTCTCCATTCCACGAATGCTGCTGCCTAGCCGCTCTGCAATGGTCTTTGTCGACAGTGTCTCCTTTGACTCTCTCAGGAGATCAAAAATCCCCATCTCACAGGCAGTGAACATCACCTAAAGGCAAAGGCAGGAATCGGAATTAAAGATGCTAACCAGGCGAGAGCACACAGCCATGTGTGATATATTTTCACTGGAAAGCCAGACAATGGAACCAGTGCTTACAGAACTGTGATTAAGCTTTAATGTAGCAAAGAATATTGCTGGTACATGTTGAGTATATTCCTTAGCCAAATGCTTAAGACCAAAAGTATTTTAGATTTCTGAATATTTATTTACTCATTTTGGAAAACCTGTATTGACATGAGATATCTTAGAGATGGAACCCAAGTCTGAACATTATATTCATTTATATGTCAGATACAACAGGTTATACACAACATCTTTGATAGCTGTGTGCATGAAACAAAATTTGTGTACTCACAGAAAACAAAAATGTCATCCTCTCAGGCCAAAGATTTATCAGCATTTTGGATTTAGGCATTCCAGACAAAGATGCTCAAACTGTATATGATGGTTTAAAGTGTAAATCTACATCTCTCTTGCAAATGTTTGGTGCTGCTCTTTTCTGAGTGATTCTAACATAATAAATGATTTTAACATACTAAAGAGTTTTGGATTTTTCTACCCAAACTCCTTAGTATGTTAAAATCACAACTGCAAGCAAATGTCCTCATGATGATTTCCAAAACAGATATTAGAGAAGACATTTCTAGCATGAGTTGAATTATCTGTGGATATACATATTGTTGAGTTGCTGTGAGTTTTCTGGGATGTATGGCCATGTTCTAGAAACATTATCTCCTGAAGTTTCTATGGCAGGCATTCTCAGAGGTTGTGAGGGACCTCTCAGAAGTTGTGAGAAACCTCACAATGCCTGCCATAGATGTGGGCAAAATGTCAAGAGAGAATACTTCTGGAACATGGCCATATAGCCCAGAAAACTCACAGCAACCCAGAGATTCTGGCCATGAAAGCCTTCGACAACGCATTGTTGCTGTTGTGTGCCTTCAAACTGTTTTTTGTTTTGTTTTTTTCTTGATTAGTCTATTATTTTATGGTTTTGACTAAGGCAAACCTGTCACAAAGTTTTCTGAGACTAAAAGTGTGTGGCTTGCCCAAGCATATATACCAACAGAGATGTTCTGGGAAAGAGCCATCATATGACTCTGGAGACCAGGATTTGAAATCTCTGCTCAGCCATGAAACTCACTGGATGACCATGGGAAAGTTACAATCTCTTTCAGCCTGAGAAGAGGCAATGACAAATCTATTTTGAACAAATATTGCAACAACACAACAAAAAAACCCAACAACCCCGTGATAGGTTTGCCTTATGGTCACCATAAGTTTGAAATGACATAAAGACACACAATACCAACAGAATACCAATATTCTTGAAGGGTAAAAGGCTAGCTGCTAAGCTGGAGACAGTATCAAAACCAAGTCAAAGGCATAAACTACTGAACACTTATGGAATCTTATACTACATGTTTAAAAAAAATGCTAGAAAGTCCCAAATAATTTGAATTTAAAATGTAAATATTAAAATAGCAAACATTTTTCTTGCCTATCAGATTTTTAAGTTTAGATTTCTTTTCATAGAATCAGATCCCTATTCTGTTAATAGGGATCTTGAACCAACAGAGATTTTGGATTTCCTAAGGCATGTGTCTTAAATTAGTTATGTTGATAATGCTTTTAGATCTAACAGTATCTATTGCAACATTTGCTGCCAACATCTGTTTTTCAAGCCATTTCATAAGGTAGGTTAAAAGGTTCTCCCTTTGCCAATAATATATACAATTTCAACAGAGTAACACAGCCATAATAAAAGAATAATATTTTTGGGATATTGCATTACCTTTGATATTAAAAATCCATTCTGGTACTGAATTAGGATGTGCGGATATTCAAGGTCTTCTGTGGAGTTCATTTTTCTGCGCTGATCTGTGAGAAATCCCCTTTCCCCTCTTCATTTAAATAAGCCTCTTTTGCTTGTGGGCATAGATCATTCTGCGTAGTCCAATTTAACTAGACTAATGCCATTTCAAACACATGTTTTGTTTTCTAACACATGTACTGATACAGACCCTCTTTGCTACAAAAACTTGCTGTCGTGAGTTCACAGATGGAAATGGACTGCTTGGATGGCATATGTCAGAAGAAAGGATAACAGAATTATTGTATATACATATTGGGTTAGATTTAGAGTTAGTCATGTGTTGGAATGGTCTTGCCATGGAAATGGGCAATTCAGTCATGTATGAGTCTCATTGGTTTGGACAGGGGCAGCTGGTGGCTCCCCCAGACCTAAAATGTTCATAATGGTAGCATTAAAATCTAGGTTAGATTCCCTCTCACCCTCATAATGACAAATCCACTGTCTTCTGCCAAGTGTTGATACAGATATACATGCAACTCCTAGAATAATTCCATTAGCGTTGCTTCTGAAAAATCCTGCAAATCTCTTGGGAAGACAAACAAATGTCAGCATGCTGGAAGAAGCAAAGGCCATCAGCACTGAAGCAATGGTCCTCCACTATCAGCTCTGCTGCACTGGTCACGTTATCCGAATGCCCAATCACCCCCCCCCCCCCCCCCCCCCCCCAAAGCAGTTACTCTACTCCGAACTCAAGAATGGAAAATGGAATGTTAGAGGACAGGAAAAGAGATTTAAAGATGAGCTCAAAGCCAACCTTAAAAACTGTGGCATAGACACAGAGAACTGGGAAGCCCTGGCCCTTGAGCGCTCCAGCTGGAGGTTAGCTGTGACCAGCAATGCTGTAGAATTTGAAAAGGTGTGAATGAAGGGTGAACAGGAGAAACGTGCCAAGAGGAAGGCACACCAAGCCAACCCTGACCAGTTCCACCTGGAAACCAATGTTCTCACTGCGGGACAACACGCAGATCAAGAATAGGGCTCCACAGCCACCTACAGACCCACCACCAAGACACCAAATCTGGAAGACAATCATCCTCAAACTACAAGGGATTGCCTAAGTAAGTAAAGTAAGATGAAGCTATAGTTGTATGTGCAACCAGGCTGGTTGATATCATCTTCCCTGGGCTCTGCCTTCTTCCAAGAGTCCCATGAAAATGTTGCTATAAAGAAGATAAGGAAGCTGCTGAATTGGAGAATGTGGAATGGGGAACAGAGGAAATTCCTGATAATATGAAGCAAGTTCTGCTAATTCTCTCGCAACAGGTGCCCCCATCCAATTTCCATCCTTTACCCACTGTCACTCAGAAGTTGCCTAACCCCATGTCTTATATACAGAGGGTCTATGGTTGGGGAAAAGCCAATCCGCTTTGCCCAAAATGCATAAAAGTTTGTTTTTAAGAGCAGTTCTGGTTTTGCCAGTCTGCTTCCACCTCTTAAAGAAACACATTGATGATCCAGTCTCTGAAATCTGTTTTAGATTCCTCGGATCTCAAAATGCTGTCCTATTTCCAGTTCCTGGATTCCCTTTTTTAAAAATTGAAACTGTTAGTCTAGGGCATTTTTTTCAGGGTTTTTAAAAATAGAAAAGTCTTATTACTGAATTATTTTTATTATGTACTTGTTGTTTGCCACAAGGAAGCTCTTTTCATTTAGTGCATTTTGTATATGTATTGATGCTTGTGTGTACAATAAAATTGCCCTTTATAAATCAGGATGTGAATGTGGGACCTGCCTCCTTGGAGACACTGCTGTCAAAATTCAATTATCTCTTACAGGAATGAGTACTCAGAACATTTACCTTCAGAGCTAATGTAGTAATACACATCTTTTCTCCACTTCTGTAAGGGATGGAGAAGCTTTGGAACCTGGAATCATCAACTGAAACTGAATAGTGTGCTATCCAGGGCAGTTAAATGGAAGTACATCTTTACATAGCATGTAACTAAAATGTGGAATTCATTGTCAAATTGGATTATTCTAATAAAGGAAAAATCCTGGAAGATGGTGCCATTGGTAGCTACGAGTTAGGATGGCTGTTTGCCACCTCCATTATTTAAGCTAGTATTCCTTGAGGTATTTGTTATTATGGAGAATGAAATGCAGGATGATGGAACAGAGAGCATGCTGATCAAATTTGTAGATGATACCAAATTGGAAGGGTGGCTGATAACCCTGAGAACAGTATTAGAATTCAAAATTACTTCAACAGATTAAGAGAGATGGGCCAAAATTAACAAAACGATTAAAAGAGGAAAATGTAATATACTCAAGTAGAAAAAAATAAAATGCACAAATATAGAATGGCTTGAAAATAGTTCATGTGAAAGGGATCTAGGAGTCTTAGTAGACCATAAGCTAAACATGAGTCAACAGTGTGATGCGGCAGCTAAAAATGTGATGCCAGGCTGCACTAAAAGGGATATAGTGTTTAGATTGAGGGAAGTCATGGTTGCACTCTTTTCTGCTTTTGTCAGACATCATCTGGAACATCATGTCTAGTTCTGGGCACAATTCAAGAAGGATATTGACGAGATAGTACATATCCAGAGGTTAAAAAAATGGCCAAAGGTCTGGAAGGTAAGCACTATGAGGAGTGGCTTAGGGGGCTAGGGAGTGTTTATCTCAGAGAAGTTTAAAAGGGGACATGATAGCTATGTTTAAATATTTAAAAGGATGTCACATTGAGGAGGAGATAAGCTTGTTTTCTTCTGCTCTAAGACTAGGTTATAGAGCAATAGATTTAAACTAAAGGAAATAATATTCCAAATCTAGGAAGAACTTCCTACCAGTAAGATCTGTCTTCCTCTTGACACGTTTCTCCCTTTCGCTCTTCATTTGTGCCTCTTTGTATTCTACAGCACTGTTGATAACAGCTGACTTCCAGTTACAATGTTTAAGAGCTAGGGATTCTTAGTTCTCCATGCCACAATTTTTAAGGTTGGCTTTAAGCCCATCTTTAAATCTCTTTTCCTGTCCACCAACATTCGGTTTTCCATTCTTGAATTGGGAGTATAATAACTGTTTTGGGAGACAGTGATCAGGCATTTGGACAATATGGCCAGTCCAGCGGAGTTGATGGCAGAGGATTATCATTTCAATGGTGGTGGTCTTTGCTTCTTCCAGAACGTTGGCATTTGTCTGTCTGTCTTCCCAAGAGATTTGCAGGATTTTTGGAGGCAATGCTGATGACAGTAAGAGCTGTTCAGCAGTGGAATATGCTGCCTTGGAACTTGGTGGCGTTTCCTTCTCAGGCTTCTAGACAGAGATCAGATGGACATCTGCTGGGTGTTTTGATTGTGTGTTCCTGAATGGCAGGGGGTTGGACTGAATGGCCTTTATGGTCTCTTCCAGCTATGATTCTAGGGTGCAACCAGACTTAAATCCTCTTGGCAAGCTTTCAATTGGAACCGATTGGTTACTGTGTAAACAAGCCTTTTGTCTTATCCAATACGGCCCTTCCTATACTCTTTTAAGCAGTAAATAGGGTTAGTTTGTGGGGTTAGCGTAGCCTTACAAACAAACCTATTAGTCTACTGATTCCTGATTATGACCCAGTGGTTAAGCTACTGTGCTATTATGAATTTTCCTTTTTTAATTTGCTGTTGCTATCAGTCTCTTGGGGGCCCCGGTGGTGCAGTGGGTTAAACTGCTGAGCTGCTGAACTTGCTGATCGAAAGATTGGAAATTCGAATCTGGGGAGCGGGCTTAGTTCCTGCCGTTAGCCCCAGCTTCTGACAACATAGCAGTTCGAAAACATGCAAATGTGAGTAGATCAATAGGCTTCTGCAGGAAGGTAATGGTGCTCCATGCAGTCATGCCAGCCACATAACCTCCAGTGTTGTCTATGGACAACGCTGGCTCTTCAGTTTAGAAATGGAGATGAGCACCCACCCCCACCCCCACCCCCTCCCCATAGTTGGACTCAACTAAACTTAATGTCAGGGGAAACCTTTACCTTTACTATCAGTCTCTTAAGTTGCCATGGACAATTCACACTTTATTAGTTTCACTTTTCAGAAATATAATGGGGAGCAGAGGGATAATAAAACTGAGTCAACCTATAGAGCTGTTGTAAGGATAAAATGCAAGAAATGCATTTTATAGAATGTAATCAGTGTCCTTAACACTGGAAATCACTATATAAATTTTAACCCTACAACACACACGTTTCTAGCTGTTGTAGATAGAACAAGAGTATGGAATTAGAGACCAGGCTTTGATTCTTGGCTCAGCAATGGAAACCCACTCTGTGGTCTTGGGCATGTCACACACATCTCAGCATCAGAAAACTTTGTGATAGATTCACCATAGGGTCACCATAAATCAGAGATGACTTCAAGGCAAACAATAGGGGAACACATACTGTAGCTAGCGTGGTCCGTATAATCTCCTTCCCTCTTTTGCGGTCTTCTAGGTGGCTGGACTCCAGTTGCCTTTGCCATTGCCTCTGACTCCACTGAAATTTGGCTAAAGTGCTGTAAAAAAGTGCAATTCCACTTTAAAAGCATACTTCTCCACTTTAAACGTTTCTTTTTCTACTCGCAACTCTTTAAAGCACAGATTCCAGGAGTGTGGCTCCACTTGTTAATGAGACACATGGAAAAGCTACATCACGTTGAAATAAAATATAGTTTAAAAATGATATTAGGATTTTAGAACTCCAGTGAGAAAACTGGCATGGGACAGCAGTCATGAGTGAGTTCTCTGGGAAGTCTGCTTCCTAGACAGCAAAAAATTGTCCACAAATATGTGGGACTCATGATTTTCAGACAAAAGAATACTGCTGTGATTTTAAATATGGGTCTACAAATCTAAAATCCTTTGGTTGATTAAACCAGATTCCATGGTCCCTTTTTTGCTTCAGCTAAATAGTATGTGTCTCTGGAAAAGAACTGAGGTAATCAGCTCAAAAGATTTACTTGAGTCATATATCTGAAAAGGACTGAACACAAGACAAACTCTGTGTTCTGCTATTGATGATTACTGTGTAACCTCTTATTAGAACACGAAGAGGATAAAACTGGGATTATTTTCACTGGCCAAGAGTTCTAAGATGCTCAATTCTAATACCCAAAAGTGCTTATTACAAATATCTGTTCCTCGGTTTTGTTTTTTGCTTTAACTTAGAACAGAAAACAGTTGCCTAGCAAAATAGCACAGTACACTCATATAAAATGTGTTAAGTCAGTATTTTCAATCAGGCTGCAGAACAAAAGGGAGATTAAGAAACAAGAGCTTGGTTGGATTTCTTCTAACTACTCTGGATTCAACTGCAATTTTATTCATGAATGAGCAACAACGAATATTCAGCAGTGCTGCACCTGGTACTAGCAATGATTTTAGGAAGCCAAAATCAAATTGCTAGTGCCAACCGCAGCAGACAAACTGAACTGACAGAATTTACATAGAAGTTTGACCACCATTTAACAACATGCAGTGAGTCTATAATATATGGGACTTGCTTGTGGATAAATTGCTGGAATTTGTCATATGATAGTTGGTAGCTTTTCAGAGATGGTAACAGGATAGTATCTCCTGAAAAGGGTAGAATTTCAGGTAAAATAATGAAGACATCTCAAGGCAAATCCATTCAATCCATTATACCTATATGTAGCCTCACCATTCAACACTCGACTGAATGGGTCTACTCTAGTTGGGAATAGTATGGATATAAAAGATCAGAACTTAGGTATGCCCTCAAATACCAGTTGCTAGGAAGCAGGATGTTAATGCAGCATTAACATATCACTTGTGGTATATATCCAGTTGGGTATTGCGGGAACAGGATGTTGGACCAAAAAGGTCTTGGTTTGATCCACTGTCTCTTAACTATGACACTACACCTCTTCCTGGGCCTCTGATAACGTTCCTTTCCATTTATTCCACCCATCAGAATGGTAAACACTTTGTATGAAACATCAGTGATCAATTAGAAAACCATGTCTTTCCAAAGACATGGTTTTCTAAAACCAGTAAAATATATCTTTTGAGGATATGAAGATCACCTTGAAAGTTTAAAATTTGCTTCATAAGAAAAATGAATGCTACATTTCTCAGAAAACTGAACTGTGGAATAACAGGTGCACCTTTACAATGAACCCACTGAAGATACATGGTTCATTCCACCTACGTCTTGAAAATAAATCAACATTTTCTGACAGGAAGCAATGGGATTATCACATTTGCATTCCACTCTTTTTCCAAGAAGTTAATGTGCTGTACAAGTATTTCACGCCATTTTATTCTCAAAACCATCATGTGAAATAAATGTGACTAAACCAAGTTAACTAGTTGAGCTTCACAGAGCATTAATTCAAACCCATTTTTCAAAGAATGTGTTCTTTGTGAATACATCTAATTCAATTCTATAGTACATCTGGTGAAAACTGCTGATAAATACATCATGACTGGCAGAAATCCCACTGATACTTAGGGGGCAATTTAGCTTTTAATCCTGGCATACAGCCACCACATCAAGGTTCCTCAGATTGAAAAAAGTCACAAAAATTATAGCATTGCTTATATCAGTGTTTCTCAACCTTCCTAATGCCGTGACCCCTGAATACAGTTCCTCATGCTGTGGTGACCCCCAACCATAAATTTATTGTCATTGCTACTTCATAACTGTAATTTTGCTACTGTTATGAAATGTAATGTAAATATCTGATATGCAAGATGCATTTTCATTCACTGGACCAATACCCAATATGCCGAAATTTGAATACTGGTGGAGTTGGGGGATGGGACTGAATTATTCATTTGGGAGTTGTAGTTGCTGGGATTTATAGTCCACCTACAATCAAAGAGCATTCTGAACTCCACCAATGATGGCATTGAACCAAACTTGGCACACAGAACTCCCATGGCCAACAGAAAATACTGGAAGGGTTTGGTGGGTAGTGATCTTGAGTTTTGGAGTTGTAGTTCACCTACATCCAGACAGCACTGCGGACTCAAACAATGATTGATCTGGACCAAACTTAGCATGAATACTCAATATGCCCAAATGTGAATACTGGTGGTTTGGGGAAAATAGACCTTGACATTTGGGAGTTGCTAGGATTTATAGTTCGCCTACAATCAAAGAGCATTCTGAACCCCACCAACAATAGAATTGGGCCAAACTTCCCACACAGAACCCCAATGACCAACAGAAAATACGGGGTTTTCTGATGGTCTTTGGCTACCTCTCTGACACCCCTCTGTGACTCCCTCAGGGGTCCCGACCCCCAGGTTGAGAAACACTGGCTTATATGATGTCCTCCATGTGGCCTTCCTATTTTGTAGGTCAAAATCTGCTTCACAGAGACACTTATGTTAAACTTATAAGATGACAAGAAGTGTTAAATATTATACAGAACAAAAAAACTGCTTAGAAACAAAAACAAATCTGGAGCAGTTTGTCTATTATCAGGTTTGGCTTCCATGCAATGTCATTTATAAAGGGAAAAACAATAAAGATTCTTCATTGAGACATGGAAGATCTAACCTCTGAGAGAGGAAAACAGCATAAAATGAAAAGCTTCTTCTTGTAAAGCAATCATAAGACATATTGCAAGATTCTGTACTATGAGATAATATCAGGAAATACCCAATTCTTCAAACAAACAGAAACCAAATTTGATTTAATGATGTATATGTATAGATTTTTAATGTACCTAAACATCACACAGAAGTTGGAGTTCCTTGGCAATGGCTTCTGTGGTTTTACCATCAGATTAAAAATGCTGGTTTTACACTGCAGTAGTATTTTGAGGAAATTCCTGAGCCTCATTTCTAAAAGCAAATATGTCATAAAAAGAGAAAAGTACAACATAAACATTGTACATAAAAATAATTTAAGCAGAAGATCCATCTTTCAAAATAGAAATGTTTGCGAAATTGCATATAGACAATAGCTATCATTTTGAGCAAATTACATCAAATATTAATGCAACAGCAGCCTTTGTGACAACTTTCTCAAGGCATCCAAAACTGGCATCTTTATTTGGAAACAAAACATAAACAAGTAAAATTGCGAACACCATGGCCATCCAGGCCCTGCAACAATCTATTAAGTAGTCTGCTGTCAAAAATAGCAAAGGCAGCAACACAGCACTGTATAAAAAATATGGTTGCATCTAGCACCAATTGAGATAGCAATAAATCTTGCATGGAATTATGGAGATCTATGAATCAAGTACGCAGCTTCGAGTCAAGTTTATATTTCCTATCACAGACAGACATGATAGTTTATGTCTTAGGAAAGATTGCTGTGATTGTTAAAAGGGATCCAACTGAAGATTTTTTAAAAAATGAAATGCTGAATGCCTAATGAGGGGTAGTTATTAACCAGAATGCTTGGATAAGAGCGACCAGAATGTAAGGACGTCAACAGAGTTGACAGCTTAAAAAGTTAAAAAGAATCTGAAAAGCATGTCGATATGTTGTTGGTTTTTTGACTCCATTAACTATATTCAAGTAAATTTTTCAATAAGTTATTTTTTTCACCTCCAGGCCAGAAAGAGGAAGAATCTAGTCCAGTCATCTCTGGGATAGCCCTTGCAAAAAATAAAGTCCTTTATTACCTACTCCAAGTGCTTCTCTGGTGGCTCAAAGATCTCTTCCGGTATTTTTGTTTCTTGCCCACACTTTTGTGGCCATGGCTACGTCCTCTTTTATCCTGCTCCCTGTCTCTACTAGAGGAGCTCTGATACTGTGCATATTCTCGACTTGAACTTCTCTGGTGAGGACTGCTGTTTTTTGTGGAACATTTTTTATGGAGGCGTCTTTCTTTTCTGCATTTTTCATCCTCGCTACTCAAGTCTCTTCTATGCCTACTTTTTTCTATTTTGTCTCTGCTGTGATGGTTCTGTGTGTCTTTATATGAGTGACTCCTTCCCCTGCTGGGTTCTATGTTACACTTGCCTTGTTCTGGTACAAAGTCCTTTTTGTAGACATTCAGCTCATGATCAGTTGAGCTCCTATGCTGCTGATTTGGTGTTATACATGAAAGGACACTGGTAGCACTTTCATCAAAAACTGTTTCTCGGTCACTGACATTAACCTTAGGCTCTTTGAGAAGAACTTTCTCATGAAGGCTTCCATTTAAATACTTGGGCTGAGAACCCAGATCTTCATTAGCTGCTGTGGTGTTTTGAGACAGCAACACTGGTTTAGCCAAAATGGGAGGAACTGAGGTAGGTTTGAAAGAGTGAGGAGCATAAGGAAGAGTTTTCAAAGGGGTACACTGCAGTGTGCTAGGTACAGTCTTTTTAAGATGGATTGTTTCTATTTTCTTGTTCAGAAGATTACTTAATAGTTTCTCACGCAACTCCCTCTCTTTCCTCTGCAGCCCAAGAGCTCTCTCTTTTTCTTCCTCTACTCTTCGGAGTTCAGCTTCCTGCAGTTTTCTCCTATCTTCCAACTGCTGAAGGCGGACTTTTTCTTCATTGTGCTCCTGTTCCAAAATTTTTATTGCCTAAGAGAAAGAAAATAGAACTTAATTCCTGTCTTTATATGAAAACACATTTGCCCTGTAACAAAGACTTTCATACATCAAATAATCATAAAGATACTCTAAGGGGGGGGGGGTAGTCCTCGATTACACAGCCCAAATAAAACATTTTTTCCTTGGTATCTGAGTTTTAAGACCTGTTTCTGAGGTTACAGACTAGTGGCACCCACTCACATCATCATGAAATGCCTTGAAAAACTGATCTGCAGGCATACAATTTCTTGCCTTCCACTTACATTGGACAAACATCAGTTTGTATATAAAGCCAAAAGATCAACAGAGGACAACACAGCCACCACGGTCCACACTGCTCTGATCATCTGGAACTACAAGGGAACTATGTGAGGATGCTTTTTGCAGACTTTAGTTCCATGTTTAACACAATCCTCCCACATAGACTGGTGTCTAAATTCATGAATCTTGAATTGTCATATTCAATCTGTTCCTGGATTATGGACTTTTTGTTTGGATGTTCCCAGAGGGTTAGATTAGGTAATCATACTTCTTTGGTTCTCACTCTCAACACTGGGATGCCACAGGGCTGTGTGTTGGGTCCGCTGCTTTACACTTTGTACACATATGATTTCATCCCCGTCCATCATAACAATATTATTACGAAATGTGCAGATAATACAACCATAGTGGGGCTTATCTCTGAAGAAAATGAGTCTGCCTATTGGGATGATGCGGATTGGCTGTTCTCATGGCGCAGGGGCAATAATCTGGTTCTTAACATCAATAAGACCAAGGAATTCATAGTGAACTACAGAAAGTACAGACCAGAAATCCAGCCCTTGGTCATAAATTGGGATCAAGTAAAATGAGTAGCCAGTAGGCCTGGGTAACAACGGAAAAAATTGTTTCTAAACTCGCTTCGTTTTTAGGGGTCCATCGCGTTTCATTTTTTTTAAGAATTCCGAAATTTTGCTTTTAAAAATTTCAAAATTTACGAAATTTCGTAAAATTACGAATCGATTCGTTAATGGCGGACACGATTGCGCAATATGCTAAAAAAACCTCCAAATGGGACGGGGGAACTTCTGAAGCTTCCCTCTCCCTCTGTTGTTGACTGTTGGTGTGATAAAACAAACAACAACTATAAAACTTGCACCAGACATGCGAAAATAATTACGAAATAATTTTGAAATAATTACGAAATAATTACGAAATAAATTGAAAAAATTGTTTCGAATCTAATTTACTCCTCACACTATTCCTGCATGGCTCAATATTGGATCGTAAGCTAATTTAAATACAAATTAATAACGAATTACGAAATTAACGAACGAAACCGCCCAAGCCTAGTAGCCAGTTTTAAGTTCCTGGTTGTCACTATTAAGGAGCACCTGGCCTGGGGCACCTATGACAGCGTTGGATAAGAGGGCCCAGCAGAGAATGTACTACCTGAGACTTCTAAGGAACCAACAACTGAATGAAAAATTGCTGGTGATTTTCTACCACTGTGCTATAGAGAGTGTCCGAACCTACTGCATCTGTGTGTGGTTTGGTAACTGCACAGTGGCAGATAGGAAGATGCTCCAAAGGGTCACACTTCTGCACAGAGAATCATTGGTTGCCCTCTCCCCTTTTTGGAAGAACTATATAGGTTCCGCAGCCTTAAGAAAGCTCAGAGCATTATTGGGGATTCATCTCACCCAGCATAATCTATTTTTTTTTATTATTACCAATTATTACCATCTGGCAGATGGTACAGGGTGACAGAGGGAAAGACAAACAGATTGAGAGACCACTTTTATCTAGAGCTGTAACTACACTGAACATAATGGCTTCACACTGATTTGGCACTGGGGACTGTGCGGTGGTGATGGGATTGTGGAGGGATGGGTGTGTTGTTTTGTGATGTGTGCTGCGGAAAGCATTTAATTAAGTTGTACAATGACAATAACGTTAGTCTATTATGGTATTTGGGGTGCTGATTCAGAAAATTGCATCATCATCTTTAGTTATACCCCGCCACCATCTCCCCCGATGGGGACTCTGGGCGGCTCACATGAGGCCAAGCCCTACAACACAAAACAATAAAAGAAGTCAAAAATACAAACAATAGCATAATAAATTACATAAAACATAAAAATAGAGTAAACAGTATAAAATTAAAATTAAATCATTCATAACACAGTAACAGCGAGTGGGCTGCATGTACAGAATAAAATACTAAAGCTAAGAGCTAAGAACATGGGGTGAGATAGGGATGAAGCAGATTATTTGTGAGGGAGAAACTCTTCAGGAGTGGGGGGTCGAGAAGGGTCTTTGTACAGGGGAGGGGGTGTACTCTAAGGACATTAGGTAGACTGCATCAGCTCTAGGAGCCCCCGGTGGCGCAGTGGGTTAAACCCCTGTGCCGGCAGGACTGAAAACCGACAGGTCGCAGGTTCGAATCCGGGGAGAGCGTGGATGAGCTCCCTCTACCAGCTCCAGCTCCTCATGCGGGGACATGAGAGAAGCCTCCCACAAGGATGATAAAACATCAAATCATCTGGGCGTCCCCTGGGCAATGTCCTTGCAGACGGCCAATTCTCTCACACCAGAAGCGACTTGCAGTTTCTCAAGTCGCTCCTGACACGACCAAAAAAAAAAATCAGCTCTAGTTTCTTAGATAAAGGTTATCATGGTTTTCTGTGGGCAAGTAGATGAAGATTGGTAGATGGCATGTGTTTTGTATCTCAAAAGCTAAAGCTGATACCATTTTTGGAATCAGCAGGTCAAATATGCCCAGAAGGAGGGTTAACATTTGAGGCACCAAAATGTGTTGGCCAGTGTTTCTCGTTCAGTAGTTCCTGTAAAAAAAGTTCATCCCAGGTCACCATAACAATCAGTCTCAGAAGTCAGGACCTCTGCTAAAGAAGTCTAAAAACACTTTAAATACTAACTTCAGGAATGCCAAGCTTCAGAAAATAGAGGATTAAATGCTTTATGTGTTTATTCTTTATGAATGATTTGCCTGCTTATTCTGCTAATATTCTGAGCTATTAACTATAAAATAATATCTACAGACTCTAGTCCATTAAGTTGCCAGACTATACATACTAGAACTGGTGAAGCAGTGAGCTAGAATGCCAAGTACGGCAAAGCCATACATAAAATCTTCCTCAAAACAAACCAAAACATGCAATATATAGCTAATATTGAGCTTCTGCATACTTGAAAATGCTCCAAGGGCGGCAAGTAAGGGCATAGATTGCTCCATGAATGTGCAAGTGTCAGGCACCACTGGTTTGTTAGAGAAACTAAGGCAACAGTGTTGCAAAGAGGGGGAAAGCCTTCATGCTCCAGGCTCTGTCTTCACTCTCAGCCAAAGATGTTCATTCATTTTCTACAGATCAGAGCACAAGGCTGAATTTAACTAGTTGGTTAAACACATATTTCTTGTCAGATAGAAAAGCTGGCTGGGTTGTTAGCCCAGAAACATGTCCAAGCTAAAACAAATCCATTTAAACTGAAATTTTAAACCACAAAATATAGTAAGATCATTATAAAAACAGAGAAATAACAACCATTAAAATCAAAGAGCTTCTATCACACGGTTCCAATTCAGTCCCTATATTTCAGTATTCCTCAAAGTGGAGGAATACTGAACTGACCAGCGTAATTGAGTTTACAAGCTGGCACAACCAGGGCTACAGTACGTACAGTACAATACAATATACTACAAGGAGGGCTCAAAGTGCAGGTAAGTTAGCAAAGATGGATGTAGTCCTTCGAATAACATGGACTCACATGGCTTTGAAGTTTAATATCAGCACTTTATATTAGACTACAATGCAATTCTATGATATGCTTTTGATGCAAGTCAACATACATTTTGTACCAGAGCACTTGATAACTGAAAACCCTAGGTAAACAATGCAATTCTATGATATGCTTTTGATGCAAGTCAACATACATTTTGTACCAGAGCACTTGATAACTGAAACAAATTCTGGTTTCTCCAGCTATAGTGCTATTGATGCATTCTAAAACTAGATGAACTGAGCTGGCAAATTATATAACTACTAAATAGCATAACTTTCCCTGAAAGCAAACTTTTAGTCCTATGTAGAAACAGACACACATCCCATTGTGCAATGCTGCTGTTCAATGTGCATGTGTAGATTTATGAATGATACAGGATATCCGCCAAGATGTTAAAAATATCTGTGGGTATCTATTTTTTCAAAGTATTTCACAAATCCATAATTTTCTGCTTATACTTTTTAAAAGTACTATATTATAGATTCAGAGCAGCCTTACAATAGGCAATAATTAAATGCCATATAAAACAGACATATAAAATTAACAAATACATTAAAAACATAAAATTAAACAGCACATAAACATTAAAACCAATTCTTAAAACCATGCAGTCACCTTTGCTCTGCTCAGTAGTTCGGCAATTAGTCGAATGGACTGAAGATTTCTTTGAGCTAAGAGAAGCTTCCTCTCTTCAAGTTTTATTTTTTCTTGCAGCCTTTTTTGCTCTTCAGCCTGTATTTTTTCAAGTCTTTTTTTGTGTCTACGAATTTCACGATCCTTTTGTTTTTGCTCTCTTTTCCTCAATTTTTCTTCTCTCTTTTTCTCTCTTTCTAATTCCTCAAGTTCTTTTTGTTTTCTAAAGAAGAACATGGTATCAATCACTAGAGGTCTAGTTTCTGAATTTAACTGAATGATCAGAAATGTACAAATAATTTCTTTCCATCAAATCTCAATAGCAGATAAGCATTCCTAGTTCATTAAACACTTGCCTAACTCTTTTATAAATCAGATGACCCAAGAGATTTGCAAAATGGCTGAGGTGGCAATCTTCACTCCACTTATGAAATAAAATCTCAAAAATTCAAATAATTCTACCACAGATTATGTGTTACTGTTAGCTCAGCAGTTAGTCAAACTGCATCACAAACTTCATTAAAGACATTTATGCAATATCAATCTGATTCCAAAAGAACAGGTTTCATTAGTGGTATGTAGAAAAAGCTTTCTCCATAAATTGTTATATTTCTTAATTTAATTTACTATGAGAATCTAAAGCCAATGGTATAGAATTTCCAACAATCATGCTCACATTTTGGCCAATTCTTGATTCCTAATGACCTGCTTTATCATAATATTCAGACATATTAATTAATTTAAAATATATTGCCGAAGGCTTTCATGGCCGGAATCACTGGGTTGTTGTAGGTTTTTTCGGGCTATATGGCCATGTTCTAGAGCAGGGGTCCTCAAACTAAGGCCCGAGGGCCGAATACGGCCCCCCAAGGTCATTTACGCAGCCCTCACTCAGGGTCAAGCTAAGTCTGAAACGACTTGAAAGCACACAACAACAACAATTCTATCTCATCAGCCAAAAGCAGGCCCACACTTCCCATTGAAATAGGGAAGTTATTAGTTAAAATTGATTGTTAAAATTTGTTAAAATTGTTCGTTTTAATTATTGTATTGTTTTTAAGTGTTTTTTGCACTACAAATACGATATGTACAGTGTGCATAGGAATTCATTCTTTTTTTCCCTTCAAATTATAATCTGGCCCTCCAACAGTTTGAGGGACTGTGGCCTGGCCCTCTGTTTAAAAAGTTTGAGGACCCCTGTTCTAGAGGCATGGCCATATAACCCCAAAAAACCTACAACAACCTAATTTAAAATATTCAACAGATCTTGAAAGTCTACTAATAACTATCCGTATATATATATATATATATATATATATATAGATAGATAGATAGATAGATAGATAGATAGATATAAAAACTGGGAAATTCATACAGATTTTACAAGTATAGAAAAGTCTGGAGTTTGTAATTTTACATGAAAAGGAGATGTACCTTTCCTCCTCTTTTTGCCTTTCCTCTGCTTCTTTTTCTTTACGTTTTTGCTCTTCTCTTTGCTTTTCAAGCTCTTGAAGCTTCTGCCTTTCAAGCTGACGTTTCCTAATTGAAGCATCACTCAGATGCTTTGTTGAATCAAATGAAACCTTTTAAAGACAAAAGAAAAAATATTTATGCTAAAATGTTAAACAATGACTTCATTAAATGCTTTGGTTTTGTGTGTCTTTTGTTTCCGACATCCCTAAGCTAAATGTATCATGCAGCTTTCTTGGTAAGATTTGTTCAGAGGAGTTTTGCCTTGGCCTTCCTCTGAGGCTGTAAGATTATGAACTGGGTTTCCATGGCTGAACATGGATTCGAACCCTGGACAAGGTGTGGCTCCTGTTCAACACTCAAACCACTACATCACGTTGGCTCTTATTCATTAAATCAACTTGTGAATTACAGATGGTTGAAGACAAAAACCTGAGAACTGTTGGGACACCTATGTTGCTTTTAAAAGCTAGCTCGTTCATCTTCTTCTTTCTCTCCCATGCAACAGCCTGGCCTCGCTGAAGGATTCTATGAATTATTTAAAAGTATGCAAAAACTCAGTTCTAAGTGTTATATTATACAGTAGGACTCCCTTATCCATGGATCCAATAACTATGGCTCCTCTTACCCGCGCTCCAAAAAAAATGTTTCCCCTTGTAAATGTTTCTGCCCCCCCCCCCCAAAACCCTAGGTTTTACAATGCAATTCTATGATATGCTTTTGATGCAAGTCAACATACAGGGTTTGTTATTATCCATGGTTTCAGAGTTCCACGTGTGTGCATTTTTTGGAATGTATCCCGCACTGTATTATCAAAAGGATTTCATAATTTCTCCATTTACATGTTTATTTACATTTCTAACCACTTCTCAAGGTTGATTGCAAAACAGAATCATGAATGTTACGCAACATATTAAATATATAAAGAAATGAACTAGAACATCAGCATGAACATATTAAGGTTGAAAGCACTGGAGTCTATCAATACATTGGAGTTTACTAATGCATATTAATAACCCCCGCCTATTGTTCAAATAGATACTCAGAATGTCCTATATGTATTGCTGCCCATGAGCCTCTTTGCTGGCTGCTCTACACAATAACATCATGACAGCTCTTGCTGTTAGTCAGAAATATTAAGTCCATTTAGTCACAAATCTCATACTGAATTCCTGTCATGATTTTTTTTAAAGAAAAAAACCCCTGTTGTATCTTTATAGACCAGGGGTCTCCAAACTAAGGCCAGAATGCAGACCTCCAAGGTCATTTACCTAGCCCCCACTCTAAATTTGGGCTTTCCCACATGTCTTAAATGACTTGAAGGCACACAACAACAATCCTAATTAACCTGACTATCTCATCAGCCAAAAGCAGGCCCATGCTTCCCATTGAAATACTGGTAGGTTTGTGTTGGTTACAGCTGTTCTTCATTTTAAGTAATGTACTGTTCTTTCATGTTTATTTGTACTACAAATAAGATGCATGCAGTGTGCATAGGAATTAGTTCATGTTTTTTCAAACTATAGTCCAGCCTCTCAATAGTCTGAGTTACGATGAACTGGCCCTCAGCTTATAAACAATACACTCTACACCCCCACCCATACCCCATATCTGAGGGAATACATTCTAAGTCACCCATGTGGAAAGCTGAAACTGTAAATAACAGCTTTAATCTATATTTTCACTGTTTTTGGACTGGCAAACTACCACAGAATTACACTAAAGGATCTACAGGCCCACAAACTCTTATGCGGGGAAGTGTTTTTGAAGTGAAAGTAGACATAGAATCTGTTGATAAGCAGGTCACACTATAGTGTTTCATACAGTAACCTTTAAGAATGTAAGAAGTTACACTGATATAAAAACTACCATGTTTGAACAAAGCAAAATCCCATCTAATCCAATATTTTGTTCAGTGGTCTACAGATGCATTTAAAGCCACCAGAAGGCTTTAAATGCATCTGCACACACTTCTCATTATCTAACAATTTATACTTATATCTACTGATACTGGAGATGATACATAACTCTTCTGATGAGTAGTCCGTGACAGCCTTATCTTCCATAAATATATACATCCTATATATCCTGGTGGCACAGCGGGTTAAATCGCTGAGCTGCTGAGCTTGCTGACCAAAAGCTTGGCGGTTCGAATCCGAGGAGTGGGATGAGCTCCCGTTGAGAGACCCAGCTTCTGCCAACTTAGCAGTTTGAAAACATGTAAATGTGGGTAGATCAATAGGTATCACTTCTGCGGGAAGATAACAGTGCTCCATGCAGTCATGCTGGCCACATGACTGAGGTGGTGTCTGCAGACAAAGCTGACTCTGGCTTAAAAATGGAGATGAGCACCACCCTCGAGAATCGGACACGACTAGACTTAATGTTGGGGAAAACCTTTACTTTACTCATGTATAAGTCTAGAAATTTTGGTCAAAAATCAACTCAAAAAATCTCCCCTCAACTTATACATGTTGACTTATACATGGGTATATGTCCCTTTTAAAGCCACTCAAATATGTAGCCATCATTACATTTTGTGGTTGTTATGTACTTTAGCCTTTGAAAGAGATGGAAATTTACCTTCCTTTCTGTGTCCTGTTTAGTCTCATTGGATAATCATGGATTACACCATTACGAAAAAGTAAGAAAAACTTTTGCAAACTTGGAAATAATTTGTGAAAACATAAAATAAAGCTGACACTGCTACTGTTTCTCATTTCCCCAACTCACTGAAACATTAATCCAATTTGTGACAGTAGAGAAAACTGCACAAGCCTTAAATTGTATGCTTTTTTCAAACATACAAAAACATTTCATCTAACATTCTCTAAAAATATATACCAGGAAAAGCTCAGATACTTCACCTTTATGTTGCAAGCCACTGCTTTGCCATCTTCACCTTTGTACATTAGCTTCATCCCCCGCAAAGCATTCATAGCCTTGATAAAGCCTGCATATTCCTCATATTGAACATAAGCTTCAAAATTCAAATGCCCTCCAAAACTGAATGTATGGAAGTTTCTTCCAGTCATTTCTTCCCTGTATGGATCCAACATGGGAATGTCCACATTACGAATTTCCCCAAATTTGTTAAACACTTTAATAAGAACTTCTTCATTTGGTTTTTCTGAGCCAGAGTCTTTCAGTGCAAACCATTTACAAGGCAAACCCTCCAAATGAATAGTGTCTGGTCTTTCCCCTGGCAGAGTTTCATTCATATCTTTTGCATCACGAAAAAAGGAATCCCAGTCATGTCGAGTAGGAAAATCAATTTTGTATTCTGCAGCACGAACTTTGAGAATGTCCGAAAAACCACTTAGTTTTATAGTTTTGCCATCTAGACATGTAAGGAAGGATTTAACTAGACCCTTATTTTCCACTTCTCCTTCAAAGCGAATGAAATCCATGGTGCTTTTGGAAATTCGTAAAGTTGAGAATTGATGTGTTTGCACCATTCCTTTCAGCCTTTCCATCACTTCCCAATTGGAAATAGACTTTCCTGGTTGCTTTAACTGTGGAAGTGCCACACTGATTGTCATTTTTGTAATGGGCTTGAGGAATAGTCCATATGGAGCACAGAGCTCCACAGCTTCGGAAGTATCATGAACTATTGTAGCAGCTGCCATGGTTAAAAAGGTTATGATTCTAGCAAGAATAGGCTTATCTATTTTGTAGACATGGATAGAAAACTGTTCCTCTATTTGAATAAATTACCATTTTAACTACATCTCAAAATCAGCTTTCAAAGACTGATTGTAAGTTCTCTGTCTTTTAGGGCCTGTGAAATGTTATCATTATATGTGAATCCATTAAATAGGATTCCATTTTTAACTGTGCTGTTCTAGTGTTCTTTAATTGAAAGCAATATAAATTATCTTTGCAGAGTAACTGTAAAAGTATACAAGGAATAATAAGAATGTCATTTGCAAAAAGGAGCCTCGAAAAGTAGTCTTCTTGGAGCACACTGCTTCGACGCAATTCTGTGAATTATCACAATCTTGCGAGAATTTCATCATTCATAAAAGCTGGGAAAATATTCTGTGGAAAATTGAAATAGATGAGTTAGTGTCTTGTTTATTAGATAAAAAAGTATTTCTAAACATCATTGCCAATAAACATGGTTGCTCAAATTAACTGAAATAATTTATGAAATAAGCATCCTAACAACCCTTTTATTTAATCACAGTATGTTAGGTGAAGACAAACGGGTAACAACTTTAGAATCCTGAGTGTAACAGAATGCAGAATTACAGCCTCAGCAAAACAAACTTAGAAATTACACAAGTGTGTTAAAAAGGAATCTCATAAATATCATAGTTAAAGAACTTTATATCTGATACAGGATATCAAGGCAGAAAATCCCACATTATCTGCATGTGGACTCAGATAACCCAGTTCAAAGCAGATATTGTGAGATTTTCCACCTTGATATCCAAGGATATAGGGCTGTGTGGAAGGCCCCGAGATAACCTAGTTCAAAGCAGATCTTGTGGGATTTTCTGCCTTGATATTCTGGGGGCCCTTCCACACAGCCCTATATCCCATAATATCAAGGGGGGGGGAATCCTACAATATCGGCTTTTTAACTGGATCATCTGAGGGCCCTTCCACACAGCCCTACATCCCAGAATATCAAGGCAGAAAATTCCACATTATCTCCTTTGAACTGTGTTATCTGAGTCCACACTCTGCCTTGATATTCCGGGATATCGGACTGTGTGGAAGGGCTCTCAGTCCACACTGCCATATATTCCAGTTCAAAGCAGATAATGTGGGATTTTATTCAGGTATGTGGAAGGGGCCTCAGATTCTGTATGGAAGGGCCCTGGGCATAGATAGGGAGGGGAAACTGTAGTTGCAAAACGGGCACGGACCATGTTCATTAGCCACAGATTAGCCATTAACATAAAATACAAACGTGTCAGCGAGAGCAGGGCTTACTCTATTTGTGAACATACCAACTCTAGCCAGCCAGGGGCATCGAGTGGGCCTCCCAAGACAAAATGCTCCAGAAGATGGTCTATTTATAAAGCGCCCAAATCTTGTCCAATTCCTCCTTCTTCACAAAAGGCAAAGGATATGCGCTCCCTCTCCCCTGAAAGCACCTTCTCTTAAAGGCTGCAGAGACAAACCTAGCTCATGCCCAGTTGACACCAAGGCCTCTCCTCTCCACGCACGACCATACGCACCCTTCGGCCTCGTTCTGAACCGCGACGGGAGGGGCCTCCACGGCCATCGCGCGCCTCTCCTCCTCCTCCCTCCCTCGCGGGCTGCCCCAGGCGCAAGGCGACGCCGGCCTTCCCACAAGGCCCAGCGCCACCAAAACAAAAAAACTTCCGCTTCCCTCAAAACAACCAGGAACCTCAGAAAGCGAAGTAGCGAGCAGGAGGACCGGAAGTAGAGAGGCCGGGAAGTGCATAGAGCTAGCAAAGATAGAGCGGCAGACACTCTCTTACGGAGATTAGAGCGTTTCCTGTTGTCAGGGATCAGATGGCGGGCATGACTTGGGGGCGCATGCGCACTGAATACAATTCATACGAAGTCCGAGGCCCCTTCTACACAGCTGAATAGAACCCCTCATAGGGACTCTGGGCCCTTCCACGCAGCCATATAACCCAGAATATCAAGGCAGGAAATCCCTCAATATCTGCTTTGAACTGGAATATATGGCAGTGTGGACTCAGATAACGCAGTTCAAAGCAAATATTGAGGACATTGGGTTGTTGTAGGGTTTTTTGAGCTATATGGCCATGTTCTAGAGGCATTTTCTCCTGACGTTTCGCCTGCATTTATGACGAGCATCCTCAGAAGTGGTGAGGTCTGTTGGAACTAGGAAAGGGGTTTATATATCTGTGGAATGACCAGGGTGGGACAAAGTACCCTTGTCTGCTGGAGCTAGGTGTGAATGTTTCAACTGACCACCTTGATTAGCATTTGATGGCCTGGCTGTTCTTTGGTGTGGCTTGTTAGTGCATTATGGTGGTCAGTTTAAATCCGTGCAATAGAATTCTGTAGTTTTGTGAGTTACTTAGCCTCTATCGGAGAGCTCTAGTGCCACAATAAACTATAAATCCCAGGATGTAGCCGAAGCAGTTAAAGCTCAATCAAAATCCTATAGCTGCAGAGAAACCCAGGACCCTCGCCTGGCGTAGTGGTGTGAGCCCATGTCAATTAAAGTGGCGTAAATGTTCTGTAATTCTTCAGTATAGTTTTCCACTGTGCCTTATTGCCTTCTCCTAAAGCATTGATTTCAGCTTATGGTGATCCTATGAACAAGAGACCTCCAAGTCAATAGCCCTGATCAAGTCTTATAGGTTCGGAGTCATATTTTCCTTTTGAAATATTGTCTTCTATTTTCCTACTGCTTTCTACCTTTCAGCAGGTTAATTATCTTTTCATGATGTGGCCAAAATACAAAAGTCCCAGTCTAGTCATTTTGGCTTCTAGGGAGAGTTCAGCCTTGTGAAGATGGCCAAAGGCATCAATGAGGAAGAACATACAAAGCAGGAGAGATCATCGTAGCTTGCTTTTGCCTAAGCCTCCTGGGAATAGCAAATCTTTCTCTTCTTTTCTCTGCTGAATGAAGGGCACACAACTACTTTTGCACTTTGCACTTGATCTGCAGCACTTTAAGTAAGCTGATGATTTAAAAAGTGGTGAGAAATACTGGGACATTTCAAAAGCAGCTAAAATGGGTAAAGGGGGGATTAATAGAAATTGTCCCTGTTGAATCAAATCCACTCAACTATTTTTTGGCTACTTGGAAAACAGGTTTGGAAAAGTCGGTTGTGGAAACAATCATAACTGAATTGAATTGAAGACAAGTCTATATTCAGTTACCAAAGCAAATCAATTCTATATGTATGTGTGTATATATACACACACACATATATATGCACAGTTTTTCATGGTTATCTATGCCCACCAGTATTAAAGAAAATGGTTTTAACATGATGTTGAGAAATTGGATCCCCATATTATGAAATATATAAAATTATATGGAATTGAAACCACGGCTCTACAAAACATTCCTTTTGTCTTACATTAACAATTTGTGTAAACTATTCTTGGAATGTTGTCCGGTCACATCCAAGACCCCTGCCTGTAATTTCCTTAATACCCTTACAATGTACTGGGAGAAGTGGAGGGGAGGGAATAATTCAATGGCTGTACTTAAGATTGTTTTCTGCTTACTTTTAATTTTTTTATTAAAACAGATTAAAACAAAACCTACATAGACCCCCCCCAAACCCCCCCCCCCAAAAAAAATCAACAACATATTATAAATACTTTTTCTAGAACAATACTACTGCATCCTAAACATTTAAAAAAAGCAATAACTACAAACAATCTAATCTAAGGGCTTTACATTTTGTCTGGTGGTTATATTCCATCCATTTTCTACACCCATTTAGTGAAAAGGAACCATTGGTACATCCTTTCTCATAGAATAACACACTTCTAGTCCAAAAAACCTGTGATGTAGATTTGGCCCCATCTTTATTGGAGGAACACAATAAATGGGCCCCAGTCTTTCTTAATGTTAGTTAGAGATTTCTCTTTAATCAACGTAGTGTGTTTCCTGCTTCTGTTGATAAGATTGAGACTATCTGAGAGAAAGATCTGGCAACCATGCCCCAAGCCAATTTCACCTACTGAAATGGACATCATCCCCAAATATCTATTATGTACATTGGACTGACCCTATTATGTGCACTGGAGCAAGACTATTAAGCCCAACAAGGACTCTTTGCAATTTGCCACACCACATTCCTTTTGATCGTGCCCCTCTCGGAGGTGGATCATTAAGCAGACTGATACTTTAAATGTTCCAATGATAGTTTACTGAATTTCCTGCCATCAACACGAGCTAAACAACACTGACGTTGGACAGAGTCCTGAGCTATTTAGGACAAGGTTCCTAGCCAGATTGTTTCCCAACCAATCAGGAGCTGGTATGAATTTCTTTGATGTTGCTTGATCAGGTTCCTTTTTTTATCTGTGAAAGTTGGAAAGTATGCTCTAGGAGATTTTTTGCCAATGTAGTTTACTTGGAGTAACAACTGCTAGCCAAAAAAACCTTACTTCTAAGGAAACATGCATTGGACTGTGTTCTGTCACGCGCTGGGCCTGTAACAATTGTCTTTTCTATAGGACGTATACTTTAAGCCCAGCAGAAAGCCGGGGTGCTCCAAAGAAAGGTTCTCAGGGTTTTTTCTGAAGTGATGGTCTTTAGAGACTTTCAAGATATAACAAAGTCTTTATTAAGGTACAAACAACAAATCTTCAATGGTTCAAACAACACTTCAAGGCTTTCTTAGTCTAGTCCTCAAGGAACTGGTACCTGACTTTGATTAACTGTACTTTCTCTATAAGAAAAAAAAACCCCTGTTTAACCTCTCCCAGGCTATCATCTATGTCTCGTTGGTGTGGGTACTATTACCAATTCCAAATGCATCTGGGCATCGAGTAGACCTACCAGCCGAGGCTTGTAGATATTAAAGCTGGAATTCCGTGGATCTGTAATGCTGTCCTTTCTCCGAGAATTCTTTGAAACTTCAGGGCTGTTTTCCCTCTGATGCTGTGAGGCTGAGAGGCTGAGAGGCTGTGAGCTCTCAGCCAGAGCCTTGGGACCTTTCTCCTGGAATTTCTGTTTCCCCGGATGTTCTTGAGAAAGGATGCTTTTCTACGGGACGAGCAGGTCTACGTCCTATAGTTTAGCTTCCTTGTGTGAGACTGCCCAAAAAAATGGCTCCTTTCCCTCCCAGAGTCCTGAACAGGGGGCGGAACCAAAGCTTAATTATGATGGACAGGAGGCCTGTCCTATGACTGCAAAACAGATAACAGAAAGAAAATAAAGTTGGAGCTCCTGGTACAGCCATACCAGCACAGACTGTTGCTTATTATTAACCACCCTGTAGCATAATATGTGGAATTCCACTAGAGGAGGCTGTTGTCATAAGATAAACTTTGAATTATATTGACTGGCAGAAACAGTATTTTCTTGGAACCTAAAAAAAGTTACATATACTTTACCTTAGCATAGGCCACCTAATCAATTTGTCTAAACAAGCCTTAGAAAAACTCAAAAGGGGAAAATTGATCTATCAGTGGTTATTAACCATGATGCCTCAGTGCAGAGATGGGGATCATATGGTCTTGCAAATATTTTTAAATTGCAACTCCTATCATCCCACACCATTAACTATATTGGCTAGGATCGCTAGGACATCCAGACCCACAGTATTTTGAGGGCACCATGATTTCCACCTCTAGATAAGCCCTCCTCTATAGGCAATGGAGAATATTATTGTAGTTGCTGTTAATTTTTATTCTCCCTTTTTCATTGATCAGTGATAAGTGATCAGTGCGTTAAACCCCTGTGCCGGCAGGACTGAAGACCGACAGGTCACAGGTTCAAATCCGGAGAGAGCGCAGATAAGAGCCTTCTATCAGCTCTAGTTCCTGACACAACCAAAAAAACAAACAAACCCCTGATCAGAAGTTAAAGTGGCTTGTTGTTGTTTACCTTCAAGTCATTTTTAACTTCTAGCGACTCCCAGGCAGACATATAATGAGGTTTTCTGATACTGGGAGTGTGTGACTCACACAAGTTCACCAAGGGGGTTTCAATGGCCCAGCGGAGAATTAAGTTCTGCTCTCCAGAGTAGTAGTCCAATGCTTAAATCATTACACTATACAAGCTCTCAAAGCAGCTTACAATTTTTTAAGCATCACTAAATATCTATAAAATTCTAAAGTTAAAATAAGATTAAATAACAAAAAAAAATTATAATCAGATTAAAAACATCATTAAACATACACGTGCTGGCACAACAATTAGTCATATCCAACACATTGTGTAAGACCTTATATAGTCACACATCAAATGTCAGCCAGAATAGAAACATCTTTACTTGTCCGAGATAAGGAAGTAGGGAGACAATGTGATAGTTTCCCTCTTCATCCGATATTGCATAATTTGCTCTGATGAGGCATATGATAATCTTGTTATTTCATATAGGCAATAAGATGTATGTACTATCCACATGGGATGCTCTGTCTGCAATCCTCCCCTAAAGCTAGATCCTGAAAATGTGACATTGGGTCCTTCTACACTTGACTAAGGCCCCATCTGCACTGCCATATAAAACCTAGATTGTCTACTTTAACTAGATTATATTAGTCTACACATAATCCAGTTCAAAGAAAATAGTCTGGATTTTATATGGCAGTGAAGACGGGGCCTGAATTAAGTGCAGAAGGACCCAATGTCACATTTAATCCCAGTTCCTCTTGGGATTGAGTCCACACCCCCAACCCAAACCGTAGACTTTCACTTCCCCCACCACCTCCTGACACATCAGGCTTCAGGGCTCT